CACACACACACACACACACACACACCCGCCGAGAACCCACAAAGCCAGAAAGCCCTAACCTGGAGCTTTACAACTCTTTACTCTTTACTGTCCACTGTGGGGCTTTATTGCCAGCAGCATAAAGATGTTTAAAAGGGCCTAAGGACCTCTGTTCATTCGAGTTTTAACTGGATGAACACCCCCTCCCCATCACGGTGACGTAAAGAACAACGTACACACACACACACACACACACACAAATAATCTAATAAATCTCTCCCTACGCTGTAGCAACTCCAGGCTTCCCATTGGTCACATCCTCCGGTCAGTGGTCCATCCAACAGACGTGGTTCTACCCGAGGAGCCTCGGGAGGCAAATGTGACTCATGTAAGCCCTTCTGTGTGAGTGTTTTCCTTTAAAAGAGCCAAAAAGGAAGCAGGGGGGTCAGTTTTAACCACCGTATTTGCGAGCTTTGTTACTTTATGGCCGGTTTCAGCCACTAACGTCCCTCAGTGGGAGCTGAGTGGACAGATTGTGGTTAAGGCTGATGGACACTTTGGTGCCATCATCAGAGCCCCCCACAGTGACCACACTATGCTTCGTTTCTCTGTCCACTAAAGGTCATAGAGGTCTCACTTATTTGTATTAAATTCTTTGATATTTGAAGTTCTTTTTACAGTCCTCCAACCTCTCCAGCGTCAACATCCAGATTTTGATGCCTATTCGATGTAAATAAACCGTCAAAACATATTTATATCACGAATTGCTGTGACAATTTACCACAAATGTATTAATTGTAGTAAATAATATTACTTTATACTTATATTAATGATATAATAATAAATAATTGTGTTATTTACAAATTTATTATTGGTAATAAAGTTATTACAATTTTTTACCAGAATCTGAGGACTGGAATCAATGGATTAAAGTAGTGAGTTGACTTTTTTTTTTTTTACTCTGGGTTTATAAAATGGAAATACATGTGTAAAATATCCTTAATTTCTCGCAGCAGCTTGGAAGAAACAAAACGGCACGCTTTCAACAACCAAAGGTTTTGAAACGGGTGATTTTTGGTGCAACATCGAACAGCAACGAATGAAACACCCTATGTGGAAATGCTTTGTAAATAAACTTCTGAAAGGTTCAAATGCATCCATCATAAGGGAGAGAGAGAACACCCAGAGGCTGCAAACAAACCCCAAAACAGAGACAAAGTTGCAGAAACTTATCCAGTTTCCAGTATGGGGAGGACAGAAAAGTCCCTGACACTTCTCAGAATAAGGCCGCGCACAGATTAAGACTCCGTGTTTCCAAAGGTTAAGAAGAACAAACCGAGTTCTCCAACGCAGTTGCTGCCGGGTAAGTGGAGTTTCTTTTGCTTTGTGAACCGATTAGCCAATGCCTTTCAACACACTATCCCCCAAAACTTCCTCTAAAGGTCTGGCCCCAGCAGAGCAGACTTAGATATAAGAAATAATCTCAGATGTTAGAGCTGATCTAGAGGTGATCCACATATCAGCCTGTTTCTTTTCTCTTCTTCTCTTTATCTTATACTATGCAGCTCACACACACACAAAAACCGTCTCGGCCTTTTTAGTCTTTCTGTTTACGACCCCCTCTCGCCTTTGACTCTTTTATTGGAGCTCCTCCGTTTGCGTCAGCCCGGCGGGAATAAAGCCCGACCCGCTCCGTTTTCTTTTTTGGAGCTTGACCACATCTCAGGCAGTCCTGAGGTTGGCTCCGGGCCCGTCCAGTCCCGTTTTTTCGGTGTGGGGGGGGCCATGAGGACCCTGAACTCTCTCCTGCTGCCTCTCTGGTTCTGGTTCTGGTTCTGGACCCACGCCGGCCTCCACGCTGCCCAAACAGGTCAGTCACAGGATCGGAGGTGGTTCTTATCGTTAGGGCTCTAAAAACTGCCTTTTTTCTCCAACAGGTTCAAAATGCGGCGCCCCTCAGGTGTGGAGCACATCGGCGTCCTCTCTGAGGATCGTGGGAGGGACCAAAGCTGCTTATGGCTCGCACCCGTGGCTGGTCAGTAAAGCAAATTCCTCTTTTTCTTTTTAAGCTTTTTTAGTCTGTGAGGTTTTGCTCAATTGTGGGAGTGAACTGAGAGGCTGTTTACACACTCGGCTCTGATCATTATCACTTCCCCCTGCGGGCTCACTGCTTCTTCTTTTCAGCACGAATGTGCTCTGAATTTGGTTTGTGCGCATTTGCAGTGTGACTGTGACGGTTTTAACAAAGCACCCACTCAGTCAGTAGTGTGAAAAGCCAAAGTAGATAATAATGCAACACCTATTTGAACATAGGAATCAAACTTCACCATCTACTGATGAGAATATTGTGTAAAGCTCAGATTGCAGTTACATGCTTACACAGGGATTTCATCTGTGTGGTTGCATGTATTTTTAAATGCGTAAATGACAATAGGTCAGTCAGTGTTAACCGGTCAGCGCTAACTGGTCAGCTCAGGGACGGAGGTGTGAGCCCTGCAGTCGGGGCAGAACCAGCTCCACCAGTTCAGCCGCTACTGTCCCTGTTGGGGATGTTTGGGAGATTTGGGCCAGGTTGAGCCCTGTTTGTTCAAACCTGCCTGAATGGAGGTAGTTCCCGTGTGAACCTTCGTCGGCTTTAGCGAGCCTCTCGTCTTGACTCGCCTTTTGTTTGCAGGTTGAATTGTTGAGGTCAATCTCAGCCTGCAGCAGGAAGTGCGTGAAAAATGTCGATGGCCTCTGAAGCACGAGAAATTGTTGCAAATCCCATTGTGACGATCGATTTCTGGGAAAACTCTGCTCTTCTTTGATATGTTACATGACACTTTTGCACAAAAAAATAAATCCTGCCATGATCCAAAATGGCAGCCCCTGGATGGCGGCCATTTTCTTTTTACTCAGCATTTCTAAAAAAACTTTTTTTTGCAGTACATACTGCAATGCAACATAATTAATTGGGATATTAGACTTGTGTGTGTGTGAGGGAGGTGTTTTAACACATTGAGCAGATGGGTTTCATGCATTCGTCCGTCTTCAGGTTTCCCTGCAGAAAAGAGGTTCTCACTTTTGTGCGGGCGCCATCCTGACCGAGCGCTGGATCCTGACTGCGGCCCACTGCGTCGCATCCATGTCAAAGTACAAAAAAACCTTCCCCTCCCGACGCCGGTCAGCTTTGAAGCCCTCTTAACGGGACGGTTGTGACCCTGTCGCAGAGAGTCTCTGGGCGAGGTCCGAGTCCTGGCCGGGGAGTTCGACCTGAGGGCGCGCGACAAAGAGGAGCAAGTCTTCCTCGTCAAGTCCGTCACGGCCCACGAGAAGTACCGCCGCGTTTTGCCCATGGACTACGACATCGCGCTGGTGGAGCTGGACCAGCACATCCGAATGGGTAGGTTTCCCTCCTGCTGATTTAAGTGGCGGTCATGGATACGTTTGTGCTCGCTGACGTGTTTCTGCTTCTGACAGGAACTCGCGTTCAGCCTCTGTGTCTGCCGTTGGCTGAGGAGAGCAGCCTTCCGCAAACCCCCTGCCTGGTGGCTGGGTGGGGCAGGACAAAGGAAAGTAAGCAGAATGTCTTTAACTCATTGACTGCCAGCCATTTTCAGAACAGAGTCCCATACTGCCAGAGTTTTTTTTAGCATTTTGACAGATTTTTCAAGAGCCAAAGAATAGTTTGTGCTATGACTATGTAAACGCCGAACACACCAAAAGAAAGAGTAGACTCTCTTCTTCCATCAGGAAAAAAAAATTGTTTCTACCTTATTCCGTTCTTCCTCGACTTGCGTCTCACCGGCGACATGTTCTCTCATAGCGAACCGATACCTTTTTCTTATTTGCCTACAGTCTATGCTCATCTCCCATCAAAAGTGGCACTGCCACCTAGAGGGTCAATTTGTTACTACACACTCTGTCTAGAAGCCTGATATTTACGGAAAAGCTTTAGCAGATCGTCCCCCAAGCCACTCTCGTGGAAAAACATAAAAGACGTCTATAGACGTCTTTGGCAGCCAATGAGTTAATTCACTGTGTTTGTTTAAATGTGAAATCTTTCTTAAAAAAATGTGACTGTTGAACGTGAATTGAATGAAAACTCAAAACCAGCACCATATTCAAGATAAAACACAGAAAAGATCTCAGATGTCAACAGAAAGACATTTTTCCACTTCATGAAAAATATTACCTCATCACTAAGGAGAGAAATTACTCTCAGGGTCAATAAAAGAGGAAAAAAATAAGGAAGACTTAGCCGAAAAACTCAAGTATTAAAAGGTAAAGGAACAGAACTTCCATGATTTCTCCATTAGGGGTCCAAAGACTGGAGTGGTTCCCTCGAAGGTCCTCTTGCTGACCATTTGTCCATTTACTACTTTTGTGTACTGCTGAAAATTTGACATATCGTTGGTTCTTTTGTGAATTGAACACCGGTCCAAAACGTTCCTGTTAGTCATTAGACTTTGTATCCAATCCCGTGTTTTTCAGGGGGCCGTCTCTCCGCGGTGCTCCGGGAGGTCCAGTTGGATTTGCTGGAGCCTGACCGGTGTAAACGGGTCCTCCAGACCCTCAAAAGCTCGTTTCTGAACCAGAAGGCAGCCATGACGGTGCTGTGCGCCGGGCAGGAGCGCGGAGGAAAAGATGCCTGCCAGGTGGCCACATATTCCTCCCGTTTTATCCCCAAACCAGTTTAGAACCATCCGGAATGAGACCAATAAAAACGGGAATGGGCGTATCCGTCATCTCAGGCGCTGGTTGTTTGCTGTGCCCCCCCCAGGGAGACTCAGGAGGCCCTCTGGTGTGTCCGGCGGGGTCAGGAAGCGGTCACTGGGTGGCCGCGGGCATCACTTCCTGGGGTAAAGGCTGCGGCCGGAGCTGGGCAGACAACAGCAGCCGCCCCCCCTCCGGCAGGGGCTCTCCGGGGATTTTTACCGACGTCAGGCTGCTGCTGCCCTGGATCAAGCAGAAGCTGAGGGAGGGTAGGTCCGGCTGCTGTCTGACCAGAGCTGTGGTCTGACCTGGACCGTCCACACTGACTCCCCTTTGTTTAGGTACCACAGCCTCAGCCAGTGAGCAGCTTTAGGTCCCAGAAGTTGTCTTAAATAGGAAACTCACAAGAAATTAAATGAAAAACTTTACAGAAAACACAAAAAATTGCGTTTTATTGCATTCTTCTGCTTCAGATCGTTGGACTGTTCGCTGACTTTTGAGGAAATCGACAATGAAATTTAAGATTTATTCCTTTTAAACCAGCCGTGTTAAAGCAGGGAAACATCTAAAACCTGCTAGACTATGGCCCTCTGAGAACCCAGATCCCTGATTTTGATCCAAAACTCTCCCATTTTATCCGAATAGGAAGAGACAATGAGACATTTTGAGATGCTTGAGTCATGAGAAAATTGTATTTGACGTGTCTTTGTATTCCATGTTTGTTATGTTTTCAGATTTAATTTGCGTGCTAATATTTCTCTGTTTTGGCTGCAGCTGAGCAGCAGCCAGGAACAACTTCATCAAGTGAGTTTTTTTTTTATTCTTATACTATCAACAGAGATTCAGTAGGGCCTTTTCTAACAGCTCTTCTCTCAATATTGATTTCCTAAAGTCAATTTCATCAATTGATTTGCTCTGATATGAAATATTTATGATATTCTAATTTCTGAACTACTTTACAGTTTGGATTTCTCCAAACTTGGTTTGGTGTGTGTGTGTGGGGGGTGTTTATCTCCCATTCTATGCCTCTTTGATGTTTGTGTGTGTCTGTGTGTGTGTGTGTGTGTGTGTGTGTGTGTGTGTGTGTGTGTGTCAGGACTCTGCAGTGTGAGCGATGGGCATCTCTCCGCTGGCGAGGGGGTGATCAGAAACCCCCGCCTCTCTTCTGATCGCTATGACAACAACCAGTGAGTGACACGTGTTGCCGAGGAGAACCAGACCGAAGTGTCGGCTGGCTTTAAAGGCCTCTAAAGACTCTAAAGGCCGGTTCTTTTTTTGTTGTGTCCCCGAACAGGATGTGTGTGTGGAGCATCGCCGCTCCTCCTGGTCACGGCATCCTGCTGGAGTTTGACCGGTTCGACCTGGAGAACGACTCCTGCTGTCAGTACGACCGCCTCACGGTTTCAGCCCGGACTCACAGGACAGTCGGTGAGCCCTTTCAACGTCAAAACGCTGAGTCATGACTTGATCTGACCTCCGACTCCAGGCATCTTTCATAATAACATCTCATCTTTAACAGAAAACACTACTAGTCATACATCTGAATCTCATTTTTTTACTCTGCTCTTCAGCACTAATTCTGTATTTATGCTCATTTTTTCATATATTTTCTGTTATTTGTTATTGGGTTATTTTGCCATCTTTATATTCATTTACTTATTTATTGGAGTTGAATTGTTGTATTTGAAACTTAAGCACTTTGTGAAGTTTTGGAAGTCCTCCCATTTATTTCTTGATACTAAATGTAAAAAGAAACAAGCACAGAAGGTTAGTAGAAGCATTCAAGCAATTCAAGCTCTGTGAATACAGTTTTAGTTTGAAGGAATATTTTTGACAGCTCCTTTATGAGAGACATTACATCATTTGATTCTTGAAAAAAAAATATTTTATCAGTTATTTGTGACTTCTGTGGACATTTTAGGACAGGTGGGTTTGTAGGAATAGACTTTTGCACATTATTCAACCTTTAAAAGATTTTCTTTCCCTTGTTATTTACAAAAAATCCTAATAAAGTAACCTGCAAAGGTCACAAACTCAGGATAAGTCAATAACAATTCATATTTGTTGGCAGTCAGCCCCATCCTCCCTTGATTCATGTTTCTTGTTTTTTAGGGATATTTTTTTTTATGTGAAAAACACTTTTTATTTGATTTTTTCTTGGATTGGGCTTTAAAAGGGTTCATTGGAATCCTTAAAAAGCCAAGTGGAAGTACGTTTTCCGGACAAACGGCTGTGTGACTTGCAGGAATATTCTGTGGGCGTGCTCCGCCGGGTCCAGTGCTTCTCCAGAATTCCCAGAATGCAACTCTTCGCTTCTCCTCTGACATTAACGGAGCAGGAAGCGGCTTTGTAGTCAGGCACCGTGCTGTCAGGGGACACTCTCATCCTGGTGGGAGGCACAGACACACACACAGACACACACAGACACACACAGAGACACACAGACACAGAGACACACACAGACACACACACAGACACACACAGACACACAGAGACACACACGCAGACACACAGACACACACAGAGACACACACACACAGACAGACATACACACAGACACACACAGACACACACGCAGACACACACAGAGACACAAACACACAGACACACAGACACAAGGACACACACACAGACACACATGGACACAAACAGACACACGCAGACACACACAGACACACAGAGACACACACAGAGACAGACAGAGGCGGACACACAGACACACACGGAGATACACACACACACACACACACACACACACACACACACACACACACACACACACACACACACACACACACAGCCTGGCCCTGTGCGTTCTGCCTGTGGGTTGCAGATGTGACGGCAGCCCGTTGTGTTCAGACTGCTCACAATCAGAGTTCTGTTTTCCGTGCGAGTGGGGTTGTGTTACAGCAGATTGTGCGGTGTGTGTGTGTGTGTGTGTGTGTGTGTGTGTGTGTGCCATCAGGCTGCGGGGCCGTTGTCCTGGTCGAGGAGCAGGCGGAGCTCCGCAGCCCGGACCACCCGCGGCCCTACGCCCCCGACTGCGTCCTCCGCTGGGTGGTCCACGCCCCTCAGGGCCACGTCGTCAAGGTAACGCGCCTGACTCGGCCCCCTCAGTTCAATTCAATGTTATTTATATCGCGCCACATCCCAACAACACTTATCTCACAGCGTTTTCCACACAGAGCAGGTCAGACCGGACTCTGGAGTTAGTTACAGAAGAACAACAGTTCCCACCACGAGCAAGCACTAGGCGACACAGGGAAGGAAAAACCTCCTTATAACAGGCAGAAATCTCAAGCAGAACCACGGCTCAGGGTGGGGGGGCAGAGAGGGGAAGGGAGAGAGAGAGAGAGAGAGAAGGACAGAGGGAGAAGAGAGAGGCAGCCAACACAGTAACACACAGACTGGACCCATCGAAAATGGCAATGATATTGATACTAACGATAATGATAGCAGTATTGATAGCAATAAGACTATGAAAAGTGGCTGTAATTTCACATTCACATTCACCAGGGGGGCCATCACGTCCCGTGACTTTTCATTTCAGCTGGACTTTGCTGACTTCGACCTGGAGGGCTCGGAGGAGTGCGTGTACGATTCCCTGGCTGTCTTTGGAGACGTAGCAGGGACAGAAGAGATCGGTAGGCCGGATCCGCCTTAAGAGCAGGACCCCACCCTCTTATCCCAAATGACGTCTCCCTCCTCTCCCGGTTTGTCTCCTGTCCAGCGCTGCTGTGCGGTGGAGGCGTTCCCCCCCCCGTCCTGTCCTACGGCAGCCTCATGGTGCTCCGGTTCTCCTCAGACGGCAGCGTGGCCCACAGGGGCTTCAGGGCGGCGCTCACTTTCGTAGCAGTCGCCGGTACGTCCGTTTTCTCCCGTTTTTTTTCTCCCGTTTTGAATATATTTGAATATTTTTATTTATTTAATCAGGACAGTGCACATTAATGAACAAATCTCATGCAGATTGTAAATGAGCCAGATTCTAGCATAGTTGCTAATTCGCAGGAAGACAAAACAACACAAAATCACAGAATACAATATCAGTTAAAACAGAGAGACACACGTTCAGACAATGACATCACAAAATTAAAATTAGTGATCGCATGACTGGGAACTTTTGAGAAACAGTTTAAGGTGCTTTTTAAATGTGTAAAAAGTGGGACCTTCCCTGATGTTTGTTGGGAGGCTGTTCCAGATGTGACCCCCTCTGACTGATAGAACGGTTTGTCCAGAGGTTGTTCTTCTGTGGGGGATTTCTAGGTCTCCTAGAACAACCAGGGCCTGAGCTCGCTTTACCAGCCCGCATCTGCCACAGGTTTACTAAATAGGTTCACTTTGAGGAATAGAAATGAGCTGAGGCTTCGTACAGGAAGCTGAAACTGGTTATACTTTAAACATCGTGTTAGTATTATTACAAAACCCAAATCACTTTGGCTGAACCCAAATGGAAAGTTATACAAATTCATGTTATTCATTTAATTTACATGGAATTGCTGTAAAATGCAAAATAGTAAGCGTTCCAATCTTCCTTTTCCTTTTCTTGTTCAATTAACGTTGCTGGGAATAGAAAAATGTGGCTCCATTATCCTTTATTTCACATTTCTCTTGTTTTTTTTCCAGTTTTTCCATTACACAAAATACTCTTTTCATAGCATTTTTCTCATTAGGCTCAAAATGCTAAATACAAATATCATTGCTGCGTCTTTATCAGCTTTTGTGGGAATTTCTTCAATCAAGGGTTTTTTAAATGGGTCAAACATCAGGAAAAATGTCCATTTTCTTTAATTTCCAACAGACCTCGATGATCAGGGAGGAGCAGCTGAGGGGGGGAGGCCGCCTGTTTCCACAGTCGACCAGCCACAAACAGCGTCTCACGGTTTGTCTCATCTCCAGTTTTTTGTTTTTCCATCTGTCGTCTGTTCTGCCTCCACTGGTGGGGAGGCTTTTGGCAAGGCATCAGATCCTCTGCAGAGGGGGTGCTCGGCAGCGGAACGAACCAATGGCATTTCACCAGTGGGCCAAACATGGCCGTGTCAGGGACATTTAGAAAGGCGATGGGACATTTAACACTCAAGTTACAACCGAACACATGAGACATATGGAGTAAAACAGGCTCAAAAAGACTCAAGCGTATTGTTTTATCCTGATTTAGACTTGTTTTTTTTTAACAGACTTTTTAAAAATGAGGTTTACTCCTTTTATGAACTGTTTCTGGCCCAAATCGTCCCATAAAACTAAATAAGTGTGCAGGATGTTCGGGAAAACATTGTAAAATGTGACAAACCCCTTCAACCCTGCACGGTGTGAGTCCACCACACGTGCACACGCTCAGCACAGATGCACTTTATTACTATTTTGTTATCGAGTGTTTTTTTCTCATCACGGTGCCCTGGAGGGAAATTCCTCAGAGGGTTAGCTCTAATTACGAAAGGACCCGAGAAACAGGAAGGTGCAGCTGCGTGTTTTCTTAGAAAGGCCGTGTGTGTGTGACCTCATTTCTGTTTTCTCCCGTACAAACAGGTTCGGTTTGTCACGCATCTGCTTTAGTGCTCTGACGGTTTTCTTTCTAAAAACCCGGTCGCCTGTCGCTTTCTCTCTGCCCTTAGCAAACAGAACTCGTCTTCTTCTGCCTTGTGTTGCTTTTTTTGTGTGGCGGACGTGTCTGTTGTGTCTCCAGGGTTGATTCTCACCACACCCAGCGCCTTGGAGACCACGAAGCTGCTTTCCTGTTTTTGACCTCGTGTCCCACCTCTTCCCTTCTGCTAAACTGGGAGCTCCACCCACTCAGGTGTGAGGTGATCTGAGCGGGTGTGGTCTTCACAGAGACTCTGGTTGCTAGTAGCAACCGGAGCTCCCAAGTTTAGGAAAAAAGTAGATAAAAGCTGATTTTGAGTTAGATTGTCCTCTGCTGTTCGGGTTCTGTTCTGGAGTCAATTAAATCCTCTCAGGAATTCTTTTTCTATTGTGCTTGAATCCCAGAAAAAATCTGTTTTTTGCATGAAATGGAGCAAATCTGACATTACGTTTGATGGTGACTTAAAAAGTAACCACTTGTCCCTGTGTCAAAAATCTCAAAAGCCGGTTTTCTCTTCTCCTACCCTGCTGAAATGCCACTGAATGCAACACATAATCAGTGTTTTGGCCCTCAGACCTGTGCATTTTCCCCAAACACATAATTTGTGTTGAAACTACAAAAACCATATTATTTAACACAACAGAAGTCAGATCGCCTGAGCTGCAGATTTCATAAGTTTTACTGCCGGTTGATCCGTTTTCTAAAATACAAAGGTTGCATTTTTTGGCGTATTGTTGGAAAGGTATGTAAATACCAACATCCACCTCCATCCCCAGTGTCCTTATCAGACCTTAAACACAACATAACCTGAGTTTGATCTCACTTTAAGCGGCCTTCTACCCTCCCACATGCTCAGCTTTTGGACCTGACCTGTGCACAGCTGCAGCTGCAGATGTTTGTGGTGCCAGTACGCCCTCTGGTGGCGGTTTCAGGAACCTAAACGTGAAACGGGTTGAAAACTTGATTTACTTGAATAATCCACGTGTTGCTGTTCTGTTAAAGACAGATTAAAAGCTGTTTTTGAATTACTAATAGAGGTATTGATTTTTTTTAAATGTATTCAAGTTTTTTAGGGTTATATATACATATTTTTATTCCGTTCTATATATAACATGAGTCAGTTTAACATAAAGAGCTACAGATTAGATAGATAAACTGCTAATCTGTTATGAATGATCAGAAATAGTTGCTTTTCTTGTACAGTTTTCCTCACATTCAAGCTTCTCTCAGATGAGGTCCTGGGGCAAAAAGTCCTGTCCAGAAATCAAACTTTTTGTAGGGATTATGCTTCTATTGGACACAAATTTAGCAAACTGCAATGTAGCATACTTAAATGTATGTTTAAATAACTTGTTATCTCATCAGTTTTTCTTTTAATGTTGTTGTTGGCATGATCAATAAAAAGCCATCAAAATGTGCATTGTAAAAGAGTTTTACGTTCGGAATAAAGAAAAAATGTGTTTTTCCAACATATGCAGTTGAAAGGCCTTAAGAAATAACGGGGAAAGAAATAGTAAGAAAACCTGACCATTAAACTAAGAAAAATAAGTTAGGAAATGCATGCTTAAGATCAAAGTGACGCAGTTTGTTGGACACTTGGTTTAAAGTGGAACCCAGACTGTGACTGGTCCAAGGTGGCATAATTACCAACTTTCTGTGTTTTAGTTGACCAACGTGTTTCAGATCCTGCTGTGCAGCGCTTAAACAGCAGAGTTCTGCGTCAGCGGCTTGGTGGGGACCACCGGGCCTCACAGGGGCCCCGACTGCACACCGCCGGGGGCCCGGACGACGAAGACCACAGTGGGGAATCCTCCGGAAAAGGACTTTAACTTTCAATTCGTATTCTGTCAACTGTCCTGTGAAGTCACATGGTGGAAATTCCAGTCTTATATCTCTGATTTAGCAGCCTCACAGCTATTTCTCCGTTGATGACGTTTAATACATCTAAAAGAGAAAACTTGCCTTAATTATTGCTTTAGCTGTAGTTAAAGATTCCCTGAATAAACTCATGTTTGTAACCCACTATATGAATAAATATTTTTACGTATTTGGTATTTTTTATTCTATTTGGTTGCTTTTTTGATTTGTGTGTGTGCCTTTGCTGCCTTTGTTCTTATCATATGGTACTTACTGTCCTCAGTCTTCACAGTTTCACACTTAAGAACATTCCAGTCTTTATTTAAACTGCTGCTTTTCTGCCCATCTTTACTTGCAAGATACTACTCATCAAATGTGCTATTTTCAGTTTCCAATGAGGTATTTCTTGTCAGTATTTCTCAATTTTCCGGCTGATTGTTGCCCCCATCCAACCTCTTTTTGGACGTGTTGCCACCATCCAATGAAAATAATTTCTTCATATTTGTAAACCACATCCCATCCATTTCCTGGAATTGGTGCGAACAGAAAGGTGATATATGTCCCTTTTCATATGTGGACTTTTTTGCCTCTCTGGGGCTCTTTCTCCTCCCTTTTCTCATATCTGTCAGTGGTGCGATTCCAAGGCTCTTCTCACTGCCTGAGCACCACCTCTGTCCAATGTATCACGACAATATCTGCCCTCCCATTGGTCCTCGGGACCCGTCACCTTTCCCCCAGCGGTAGGCCACACCCCTCAGAGTGTGTGTGTGTGTGTGTGTGTGTGTGAGCTGAGCGTGGACTCTGTTCTGCTGCGGTGAGAGGAGGACGACACTCATTCAACCATGGACCAAAACCTGGTGAGATTTCATTTGGTTTCTTCATTTTTTCTCCGTTTTCTGACCGGTCAGCAAATGGTGGAGAATCCCAGGAGTAGGTTTGCTGTGATCTTTGCCCCGCAGGTTATCCCGCTGCTGTTGGCCGTGTCGGTGGTGGTGGTGACAGTGTTGTATTTCCTCCTGGGAGGATCTGATGAAGGCAGAAAGAAAGGGCCCGTCACTCTCCAAGACCCCATGACCAAATACCCCCTGCCCCTCGTAAAGAAGGAGGTGGGCCGCACACAAACACAACCTGTGAACCAAATATCTGTGAACCATATAAACTAGCAGGTTTGAATTTTTATAAAACCATGTTTTAGTCCTGTGCCATCTCTAAATTACATGCAGGAAGGAAGCATGGAGCCTCTGATGGACTGTTTTCATCTCAGCTTTAGCTGGAAGAGCTTAAACAAAAAAGCATTAATATAAAATAATGTCATTTCAGATTTCCCTGCAGTAGTGTTTGCCATAGTTAAAGGGACACTCTTGTGTGTTTGCATGTAAAAGTGTGCTTAAAAGACACTAACAAACACAAGTCAGACTAAAAACAATTCAGGCTTGTGGTTTTAAATTGACACTTATTCCTCAACTTGGCAGTCAAGACTGGAGAGATTAGTTTAAAATGAAGAATAAGCAGAGAAACGAGAGATCTTGTGCTTAAAATATGTTAGACGTGAAGGTTGGACTCACAAAGTTGTTTTAAATGAAAAAAAAAAGCAAGAAAAATGTATCGGGCTGCTCTTTTCAAGTCATTACTTTGCAAACTGATATGAAAAGCGGCCCTGAAGCTCACATGTAGACTTTACTTGTGTCTGTGAGTAATAAAACACTCGTGCCTATTGAAATGAAGAACCCCCCCAAAACACAGAGTCGGGGCAGCTTATGTGTTTGAACCTTTTTGAAACTTCTGTATCCTTGTGCAGGAAATCAGTCACGACACAAAGAAGCTTCGGTTCGGCCTTCCCTCTGCAGCTCACGTCCTTGGACTGCCAGTGGGTAATGAAGCAGCTCTTTTATGAAAATAAAATAAAAAGAATTCCTCACAAAGTGTCACGTTAAGGAAAAGCACGCGCTCGCTCAGCGCTGAGCAGGAGTTTTATTCCATTAGAGTCACGTCATACTCGGCTAAATTCGTTATAATCATTGAAAGCTTGTGTCCGTCTCACAAATTTTTTCCATCCGCTCCAGGTCAGCATGTGTATCTGTCGGCCAAGGTCAGCGGCTGCCTGGTGGTCAGGCCCTACACACCGGTGTCCAGCGACGAGGACCAGGGATTTGTCGACCTCGTAGTTAAGGTATTTTCTCTAAAACACAACAGACAACTTTCATAGTCAACCTGTACCAGTGATTTAAGAACTGACTCGATAAGCTTCTCAACAATATATCTGTCAGATGAGTATTTTTCTCTGATTATAGCTCAAATTTAAGGTTGATGAAGCGTTTAAATTATTCAAGGAAATTCAAAACTGTTACCTGGGGCCTTTCCTTTCTCAACAGGGATTAAGTTTTGGTCCTTTTTCTGTCATTTCGAGACATTTTCATGGAGGTTACCAGACAAAACACCAAGCAAACAGGATTTATTAGATATTAGTTCAACACTGGATATGCGTTTGCATGTTTTATTCTATATGTGACTATTATTTGATTCATTAGGAGCAGTTTTGCTGTGTAGGAAGCTTCTCTAATCAACACGGCAGAGATAAAACTTGCTTCACGCAGCTGTCCAGTCAGAAAGTCCATTCGGTTTGCAGAGCAGTGATTACTGGTGGTAGCTGGTTTCCCTTCTCTACTCAACTGGGTGTTATGTAATTATTGTTAAAACACTACAAATAGATATGCGGCGCTAGCTGATTAAATTGCATTGTGGTAGCAATATGGGAGAATCAAAACTAAACCTCTGCAGGTCTACTACAAAAACACCCACCCCACCTACCCAGACGGGGGACAGATGTCTCAGTACTTGGACGAGATGCGTATCGGAGACACCATAGACTTCCGAGGACCCAGCGGGCTTCTGGTGTATAAGGGCAAAGGTGAGAGGGTTTTATTTGAGTGGTTTTAAGAGGAAAATTATACTTCGTTGCTCTCACCAGCAGATGGCACTGTGGTACAATTCAAATCTTGACATCTTTTGTCTTTTTTTTTGTCCCCTGATCTGAGCAGGTCAGTTTTCCATCAGACTCAACAAGAAGTCGGAGCCAAACATTCAGAAATGTAGGCACGTTGGAATGATCGCTGGTGGAACAGGTCAGTATACATTCATAGTAAACTAAACAACAATGTAATAGCTACTGAAGTTTAATTTAGATGTGAATGAAACCTCAGAAAAGCTTTTATAGGAACATTCAGTGTTTCATCAGTGTTGATGCTAATACTTTCACTTCCAAACTGCCTGGAAAAATGCTTCACTTTACATTTGAGTTGTCCTTTCACCTGGAATTCTAATAGTGTGTCTTTAACCTTTTCAGGGATCACTCCAATGCTGCAGTTGATCCGCAGGATCACATCAGATCCCTCCGACAACACAAAGTGCTCTCTCATATTCGCCAACCAGGTCAGCTGTGTGTGCAGCTATTTGTGGGTATTTTTTCCCCACCACAAAATTAGAACAAAAACGGGACATAAATGGAATCCCTTGTTTTTTCTCGTCCCTGTTCCAGACTGAGAAAGACATCTTACTGAGGGAGGAGCTGGAGGAGGTCCAGAAGAGCCACCCTGACCAGGTTAAGGTCTGGTACACTCTGGACAAACCTCCACAGGGTGAGAGAGCACGCCTACAAACACTGAACCAAAGCTGCCTATTCTGAGAGGGTTTTCTTTAGTAAAGCAGGCGTGTTTCCTATTTGAAATTAGACGTTGAAGTATGAAAAACTGCTGCAGGATGCACATTTACATGTCTACAAAGACCCAATAAGTAGTGTTGAAACAGCCAATAGAGTTTTAACTCAAGTCCACAAACGTGTAAAAACGGCATAATTATATTCGCAGTTCTGAAAAATAAAAAAATTTGAATATGCAAGGTGAGTATAAAGTGACAACAAAAGAAGAAGCTTAAGTAAACGTGTGTGTTCAAAACCAATAAATAAGAAAAAACAAACAGTATTGGAGTCACAACTCATTTTTCGGATGTTATTAAGCACAAGTACATGTAAAGTAGTTCCTCTAAACCTAATTTCTCCAACAAAAAGACCTACAGTGAGTGGCTTTAGCCTAATTTCGAGGTTGGCTGATTTTTATGAGTCAAACTTTCTAACATAACATTAACTTGACAGATTGATCTTTAGCTTTAAGTTAAACTTTAAAAGGATGTTACAGTGACTACAAACAGTCCAAGAGTGTCATTTGCAGTAAGGGACAGACGGATCAAAAAGCGTCATAACACCAATTTATTGCTGTATTTCCCACTTTTTGCATCATATTGTGGTAAAAAGGTGTACTTTCACTGTGGCTTTACATTCAAAATATCCTAGGCTGCTGAATTTTATGTGTATTTTTTTCCGGTGAGACTCTCCGTGTCTAATTTTATCGTACAGGATGCACACGTAAGAGCATTAGCGGACTAGCAGGCGGCATAAAGCTGAGCAAATCTTTTAAACTCAGGTGGAATGAGCTCTTCCTGAATATTCAGAATAACCAAACAAAGACTCGTCAGCTGAAGGAAAATCCCTGCAGACCGAGGACGGAGACGCTCTCAGCATGGTGCTGCAGTTGCTTAGTGAAAGGTTCCCGTCTTCCCCTGCAAAATCTTTAAAGTGAGAGAAAGTTAATGAGCAGAATGATATTGCATAATGTGCTCTGAAGGTCTCCGAACACTGCTTGTATTTTGACTTCATTACTTCCAGGCAGACAAGGCACACATCAGTCTCTGATGGTTATTTATCTGAAGAGGTGGGCCTGCTTAGTCAGTGGCCTCGTTATTTAGTCGCCTCGAAGGGAAAGATGACGTTCTGATAAACATCTCCATGTTTCTTTTGACAAGAGGCAACTTTGATGCTACGTAATGAAACATTTCTCTTTCCCTAAAGATCAAAACTGATCATATCACCCTAATCTTACAGACATTTTCATTCAAATCTGGAGTGTTTTGTGGTTTTGCTAATGTCCTCTTTAGGTCATCGTCACCATTTCTTACATAATATACTACAAGGCCGATGTTCATTGAGACTTAGCTAGCAGGCGTAGTGTAAAAGAGAGCAAATGTGCAAGAGCAGAAGGAAAAACTGGAAGGAAAAACTCTTAAGTAATATTCACTTCTGCTTTTTGTACAGTAATTCTTTCACATGTTTCTTTATGCAAATAACCTAAACTGTGTGTAAAAAGTCACTGTGCTTTGAGGCCAGATGAGATTTTACTCTAATTATTTGTGTTGTTTGTATCCCCCTTTAGAGTGGAGCTACAGCTCAGGATACGTGACCCACGACATGATCAAAGCCCACCTCCCAGCTCCGTCCACCGACGTCCTCGTGGTCCTCTGCGGACCCGCGCCTATGATTCGCAACGCCTGCCTGCCCAATCTGGAAAAACTGGGGCACAAAAATGAGAATATTTTTGCCTACTAGTGTTCAGCCAGTCTGTCATTATTGTCATTTTCATGTATTGAACACATGATGTAGCTTTAGTGTCGCAAACATTCCAAATGACCAAGTATTGTCAGCCATGATATCAATTTTGTTGAATAAAAATATAAAATTAAGTTGTGATTGAACTCCCACATGGCATCTGTTTTTTGCTACTTTACCAGCTACATAAACTGTCATTAGAAATATAGAGATTCATACAAATTGTTTGGTTAATTTATCTACGTAAGTTGCTAGAAAATTCAAAATGCTCCTAACAAAGGTTAGAAATGTATTGTTATGCAGCATGCTTTGCTAAAAGCAACATTAGAAATGAACTGTGCGTGCCCAAACAGCTCAAATCAACCAGTTAAGGACCTAATTATTGAAATAGCAGAAAGTAATTTTTTACTTATAGTTTATGAGGATAGCATAAGCTTATTTATTTATCTTTTTTTTCCATCACATCCATTTGAGTGCAAATAATCTCTTCATATCCAATACGTCCTTTTTTAACTTTTGACACAATATGACCAATAACATGATATCGAATTATATTTTCAGACAAACATTTGGCTAAGAATATAAAAATTATATAGCTTTTTCCATATGCAGCTCGCTGAACTGCAGCAATACTGACCAATTCAGGATACTTCTGTCATTGATAACAGAATATTCTCTGTGGTAACACAGCATTAACATTGTTTTTTATTCCTTGAAGTCACAGGTAACTTATTGATTTGGATTATTTCTTTTTTGTTGTCAGTTCTGGTCAAATAAATGAGTAATCGATTGCTTTACAATGTGACGGTATTGAAGCAAAATTTCCGACGTCAGTGAACGCATCACGAGGTTAGTGGGCGTGCCTCTCCGCCAACATGTCGGCTTAAGAGTTTCTATCAAAACTTTGCTCACTTCTTTCGGTAACTTAGCGCCCTTAGCGAGGGGGAGTTTGTGAACTATGTCGTGCATCCGGAGCTTAGTCTTACTCCAGACTTCTACGAGGAGTTTAATTCGCCGCTTTGTCCTTTTCGTTGCATTTATCAGCGCCAGTTTGCCGGCCTGTGTCGGAGAGGCAGTCAGCCCGCAGAGATGTGTGGTCTGGGGTCCGGGACTGGACCGCGACCCGGTAGTCCCGGTTCGCTATTTCTACATTCAGGCGGTCAATTCTAAAGGAGAAAACCTGACTGTGTCTCCAGGTAATGTAACAAAGGCAGGAACTAACTGTTCATTTAACTACGCCTGTCAAACCAAGCCTGAACTGGAAGATAAATCTTCATCTTTTTAAAAAAAGATGCCAACAGCTAGCTACAATTAACTGTTACCGTTTAACCGTTGGCAGTCTAGTCTTAATTAAGGAGTATTTTTAGTTTATAAACATGTATGTTAATTTTCTACGATATATACATGAATGTATGACAATTCAGAGACTAGTTTGATAATTCTATATATTTTTAATAACTCCTTTTCCCTGACAAGCACACGAAATTGACAATTTAACGTCTGTTTGTGATTTAAATAGCCTCAGGAAATGCTGTGTCAAGTAAAGTGCTGTGTGTGTGTTCTTTTATTTTTAAAGGCAAAGACACGTTTAAAGTGAAAATAAGTCCACTGGACAAGAAGGAGCACGTCCGCATCCACGTCCCTCCGCCTCTGGACCGGGGCGACGGCTCCTTCCTGATGCGGTACCGGCTCTACGGCTCCTCTCAGGCGGGCCTCAGCGTCCAGGTCCTCCACGGGGATGCAGCCGTGGCCGGTTCCCCCTACACCATCCAAGGTTCATCCTCAAGGCAGACGCCTAACGGACGTTTATGTTTAAGTTTATGCATTTGGCAGACGCTTTTATCCAAAGCGACTTACAGAATAGACACAATATTACATTTCTCATCACTATGACAATAAGCTATATAGAGGAGAAACACTGATCAGAGTCAGTGGTGAGATAGAGATAGAGGTAGAGGGACCACAGAAGGAGTTGTGGGGGGGTAGAGGTACGGGTTAGGGTAAGGATAGGAGATGCTCTTTGAAGAGGTGGGTCTTCAAGAGTTTCTGAAGACAGACAGGAACTCTGCTGTTCTTGTGGCGCTTGGTAGGTCGTTCCGCCATCTTGGAACGACACATGCAAACAGTCTGGATGGTCTTAAGTGCGGTGAATTTGATACGGGCAGCCAGAGGTAACCAGTGGAATTCAATGAACAGAGGGGTGACATGAGATTTTTTGGGCTGATTGAAGACCAGACTGCAGACATACTGACACATCTCTATCTTTATCTACATCATTAGATTAAATTTTTTTTGGCACATAGACAATGAGAGTAAATGTCAGAGAAAGGGAGATGGATGCTCACGTCTTCACCAGAGATTTCCGCTGTCTGACCCGATGATTCCTCACTTCTCAGGGCCCGTCTATCACGAGTACTGCGACTGTCCGGAGCCCGATGCTTCCCGCTGGCGGAGCGTCATGCAGTGTCCCCCGCAGGAGCCACAAATCCAAGCTGACTTTGAATCTTTCCCCGTGGTGGACCTGCAGCTTCTCCGACAGGAAGTGCTCCGCAGGTTTTCTAACAGGGGAGGCCTCGTACACTACGCCATCATCGGCAACCGGGTGTTCCGGCGCACCCTGGGGAAGTACACCGACTTTAAAATGTTCTCCGACGAGATGCTGCTGTCTCTGACGAGGAAGGTGGGCGCCCCCTCTGATGTCCAGGAAAAGCTTCTGCCCCCAGACCAACCTAAAAATCTGCTGTGTCTGATCTGCCGCCGAAGGTGAGGGTTCCCGACGTGGAGTTCTTCATCAACGTGGGCGACTGGCCGCTGGAGACGAGGACGGAGGGCGCCGTTCCGATCCTGTCGTGGTGCGGATCCACAGACACGAGGGACATCGTCCTCCCAACCTACGAGGTCACACACTCCACCCTGGAGACTTTGAGAGGCGTCACAAATGACCTGCTGTCCGTACAAGGGAACACAGGTAACCCACTAAGATGTTTCATTCAGGTCACACTTCATTAAATGAGCCACATACCGCCTCGTATTTCTCCTTACGGAGCTCGCTCTTTGAGGAGTCTAGAAAGGCTTAAATGTTGTAAAACCCACTGTGTATTCATATGGTGTATTTGTCTGAGAGGGGGTGGTGAAATATGAGAATGAGAGGGGCCATTCACAAAAGATGGAGCAATTTTAGTTTGGGAGGATAACAGAAGCAAATTTTTCTTTATTTTTTTTATATCACATGTATCTCCCTGTATCCAATAAGTCTTTGATTTACTTTTCACACCATAAGATCCATCCTTTTCATCCATCCAATAAGATATTAAATTATGTTTTTAGCCAAACCACAATCTGACTCTGTAAATCTAAAATCAAGCTTCTTCTTTGGGGGTTCAAATCCCTTCTGTCTCGATCCATCTCTTTGTCTAAACAGTGTAAAATGTGTATCTTATTACAGGTTTAATTACCATTAATGGCTGCTTGCTTTCCGTCCGACGGAAACCGAGGCTGAAAATCAGCGTTTTCATCAGCAATCAGAAAGTTCAGCCCTTTTTTTCCTGCTGGTTTATCTCTGTTAGGGCCTCCGTGGGCTAATAAAACCGATCGGGCGTTTTTCCGCGGCCGGGACAGCCGGGAGGAGCGCCTCCAGCTGGCGAATCTGTCCAAGGAGCACCCGGAGCTGCTGGACGCCGGCATCACCGGCTGGTTCTTCTTCAGGGACCGGGAGAAGCTCGTGGGCAAGGCGCCGCTCGTCGGGTTCTTCGACTTCTTCAAGGTGAGGCGTAGGGGTCCAGTCCAGGACGTCCTCCTTATTGATGAGCATGCATTTGGTAGGATGGGGACGTGAATGCATGAGAGGCCTGTAGTGACCTCTGCCCCCTCCTAGGGTTGTCAAAAGTATCGATACTCAAAAAAGTATCAATACTAAAATGTTGTATCCGGATACAATACTAATTTTCAAAAGTAAAAGGTGAGCGCGACGCTCACCTGCCGTCGCTGCGCCCCTTCTATCAGATTTATTTATGTATTTTTTTACGTTGTTTATGGTCATTAACAAGACGTTAGCCTTGAACTGCTAGCTTCGGCTAATGGCTAATAATAACGTGCTACCATTAATCAAGTACATATCCGACTCCGCCCACATCCAAGTCACCGATAGGGAGATCCCAGGCAAGAAAATGCTAATGCCTCATGGCAATATAGACATTAATTTAAAAATAGTGAAATTAATCTTTCGAACACTTAATTAAACTCCATCCATAATATTATGTTAAAATAGTGGATGTTAAATAGGTTTGTAGAATAAGTCCAAACAAGTTTAACCAAAAAATATTTATTTCTCACAATTATGAAGGCTGTAGGGTTAGGGTTAGGGTCATTACTGCGGGCCACCAGTCACAATAACATCAGTAACAGGTCAGTTTGAAATGAAAGACACTAACCTGTCAAAATTCAGTTAAATTTCGGGGTCTTTGTTTTTATCCTTGTGGTATCGAAAATGGTATGGAGTATCGAGTATTTTCCTCAGTATCGGTATCGAGTTGAAAATGTTATTATCGTGACAACCCTACCCCCTCCCGCAGTACAAATACCAGGTGAACGTGGACGGGACGGTCGCCGCCTATCGCTTTCCCTACCTGATGCTGGGGAACAGCCTGGTTCTGAAGCAGGACTCTCAGTACTACGAGCACTTCTACGTCCACCTAAAGGCTGGAGCCCACTACGTCCCCGTGAGGAGGAACCTGTCCGACCTGCTGGAGAAGATCCGATGGGCCAAAGACCACGACGCTGAGGCGCGGGAGGTGGCTCGGGCGGGGCAGCGGGCGGCCCGGGAGCAGCTCCAGCCCCCCCGGCTGTACTGCTACTACCTCCAGGTGCTGCAGGCCTACTCTCAGCGGCAGGCGGGGCGCCCCACGCGGCACCCCGACATGGAGCCCGTCCCCCAGCCCGATGACCAGGCCGCCGCCTGCACCTGCGGCCGGGAACGTCCCCCGAAAGAACCCGAGGACAGGGAGGAGCTATGATGAACGGTTGGTAGTGTTTTTTCTGAAAACGTTCCCCGACTGAATCCGAGATGGGATGTTTACACATGTCGGGTTAGGAATGTTCTGACCGACGGGACAGGAAGCCAAACAGAGGTGTCCAGATGTGCCTCCACGTTTGCGTCCAGGTTTGAATAGTTGTGGAGTTTCTGGACAATCTTTTTTTTATGTCTTTACATGTGAAAGTGGCTTTCCAGTTGCCTGATGTCCAACTTCCAAAAGTCCATTAAAAATCACAGGGAAGTTCATTTAAAGTGGAATTCTTATTAAATGACTAAAACATTTTTTTTTTTTTAATTAGATGTTATAGACGATACTTAACAGAAATGTTTATTTTTTTTATTCCTGTTTCTTTCTTCTTTAAATATCTTCACAACTCTGGTCACAACTTTTTGTGACCAGTCTTAAAAGACCACGTTCTGCACTTTTTAACACATGGAAAACAAGCTGAGTAGGACAGATTGAATATTTTTTTATTTCTCAGAATGAAATCAAAGAATTTTTACAGTATGTTTTAATACAAAGTCATGTGCCTTTTTAACTGTGTCAGTTGTGACAAACTTACCATGTATATGTCTTTTTTAATTAAACTTTTCATTTTAAACCTTGTTAGATGCTTTAAACTGAACACTGTTAAACTCTGCACATGTAGATATAAGTGGCTTTGGTAAAAGCATCATACAGAGAAACGGGAAAAGCCACGAGGAGGTTCTCTGGGTCTAAGGCATCTGGTGACCAATTCATATTTCAGGTTTTATTTGATTTTCTTTTTTTAAGTATAAATCGATGGTATAAAAATTTCTGCTGCCCCAACATTTTGGGATTTAGCAGTTATGATAAATGTATATTCATCCTTTGTGTACAGATTTGTCTGGACTGGTTAAACCTCTGCTACTATGTGCGTTTGTCAGCTAAATTTAACTACCAGAGTTAGCGGGTCGCCTTTTTTCTTGGCCACAATTGCCTGCATCATTCCTGACGGGGTTTCGAAAGTCTTGGCCCCTTTTAGGAAGTTCTCGATCAGAGCTCTGTCTATCTGGCTGCATTTCCCCACGGCCGCCCCGAAGTTGTTGCTGAGGACGCCGTAGATGTTCTCCCTGTCGTCCCTTTTCCCGAAGAACAGGAAGAGGGCGTAGCAGTCCTTGCCGATGGAGGTGCAGAACTCCACCATCCTCTCGCACACGCTCCTGCTGCTGGACTCCATCTGGGCCATCTGGATGGACTCGCTGCCCGACTCCGGGGGGCCGGCCCCCATCTCGGGGAGGTGCAGGACCCGCACGGCGATCTGGACCCTGGGGTTCTTGGTGGGCTTCTCCAGCAGGGCCCAAACCCAGTCGGCGCCCAGCAGGATGCGCTGCTCGGGGGTCATGGTGGTGCAGTTGAAGGTGTCCGTGATGTCCAGGCCGACGCTCCGGGCTATGTAGGTCGCCAGGAAGACCTGCGGCAGGGAAGAGACGGTGAGGTGAGGGGCCACAGAAAAGGAGACTTTGACGGACACGGGTCAGAGGTGTTTTTGCGACCGGCGTAGCGACCTGGTTCAGGACCTGGGGACTCGGGCAGAACTTGCCCTCCGGGTCGCTGAAGGTGAGGAACTCCTGCGTTCTGGCGGAGGCCGCGGACATGCAGCTGCCGATCAGAGCCGGGAAGTCTTTGGGCTTGGCCACTGGGATTTGCAGCTTGGTGAAAAAGCCCGGGCCACGTTTAGAAGAAGAGGAGGAGAAGAAGCTGGAGCTCTGGAAGGGGTTAGCAGTGGGAATGCTGATGCTCTGGCCCATGGCGGAGAGACGACGGAGGGAAGGAGATCAGAGGGTCGTCTCCCTGATGCACTGAAACGGTAATTACAATCTCTAACGTTCCTTTGGTTGGTAACAGCTGAGTCAAACCAAAAAAAACACAGTTTGACCATATGTTAGCTCTTTTACCATCAAACACTCAACGGATTACTTTCATACCTGTTTTAACATAAAAAAAATCTAGTTTTTGGTGATCAGGAATAACATCTGTTGGGTGTCTTACAATAAAACAGAAAAAAATAAGCATTTTGGTGCAGATACTCACCAGGATGGGTCTGTGTTTTCCTGAAGTTCCACTACCTGTCGGTCTGTCGTGTCCGCTGCCCTGCTGAGATACACAACGTCCGTCCGTCTGTCTGTGTGCGTCTGTCTGTGTGCGTCTGTCTGTGTGTGTGAGGCTCCGAGCCAGGAGTCCTAACATGTACTCGGCTTTCAGAGGTGGTGGGGAGAGTTTAGCTGTCCCAGCGGAGTGCCTGCAGGATGAGGCTGAGGGTGTGGCGCTGCAACTTTCAGCCAGGTAAATCAACAAAAGATGAGATGGTGCGAGTTAACTGCCAGTTGCAAGGTAAGCCCGAGGGGTTTGATTAGTAAACAAAATGCTTAAGAGTGTCCTCTTTTAGAGGGGGGGAGCCGGGGAAGAGGTGCAGGCTGGGACAGCAGGCTGGAGTCAATCTGGGTCAGTTCTGACCTGTACGGTTTGGATAATCAGGACCTTTAGCGTTCAGAACCACCAGACGCCCAGTTGTTTGAATTCTTTATTATTTTATTAAAATTTCACAGCCCATATTCATACATGTGCTCGATAAAAGAGCATGTAAAGGATTGTTGTCTCAGATTTTCAGGTGGTGATCTTTAAGTGTAGCTTTATTTGAGTGTATTGGCCCCTGAGGATAATCGAATAACTCCATATGCTATTTCCAAAATAACAGTTGCTACCCCAAGAAATTAAACAATGGAGACAACACAGATCAATGGACTTGACCACTTTAACTGATAGTTATTCAGTGAAACTGGTCTGATCAGCATATTTGAATATGAATAACTCCTTTAAGTATTATAAAAATCACTGTAATAAGGTTTAAACTGCTGGTTTTTATTCAAATTGTGTCACCTCTGAGAAGCTCCAGCTCATAATTTCCCTCAAGCTGTCCTAATAATCTGTGATTCTAGAAAAGCACTGCATATACAGTGTAGAGTGGAAAGACTGTACAATCACCAGCTAAATATTTTAACCCTCATTTAATGTGTTTGGGGCGAGTGTTCACGAGACGCCGCATCATCAAACCACTTACAGAACTTTGTCGCGTCTCCTAAGAAACAGATTAATCTGTCTGCAATGTGCTTGAAGTCCTTATTAAGTATATTTTTCTTCATATTCTATGCGTGCCACTTCGCATATTATCTTAAATAAGATACCTTTGATGAACGTTAGGGGCCCTTAATGGTGTCCGAGTAGTGGTCGCTCTTAGTTGTTTTTCATAATCTTTAAATCCATTAGTTTAAAAGTCCCTTCTGTCTACAGTTCGGTTGGAAGTGTCAGCGTGAGGTATCGGAGGCTGCAGGGTGCGAGTGGAACCGGTTTGACTGCAGTGTGGAGCCTGAGGTGCAGCTCCTGTGAGTTGGGGTCCTGCGGGTCTCTGTGTTTTTGGGCTTTTCTGGAAGGCATTAGTGACCAAACGGCGCCGAGTCGCCCTGGCTCAGACCAGCGCCGTCTGGGACGGCCTCAGCTCCCTCTGCAGCTCCTCCCGGCTGAGCAGGTACTGCAGGCAAAGCATCATGGATGTCGGAAGGGGTTAAAGAGCTAGGGTGCCTGCAACTGAGCTGGGATCCACTGACAGATTATCAATGTACTGGAATTCATTTAGGACACAACTGATCACTTTTATCTCCTATAAAAATCCTCAACGGCAACATCTGGTTTATGACATATTGATTAGAACAAGTGAAACTGATTTGATCAAAACTGATCCCAAGTCAGCTGAGCACGCACCATGTGATGCATTCAGCTTTAAAATGATTCACTTCACTTTAAAATGAGGCCCTCCCAGTAATGAGAACATAAAGCTAATGTTTTGTGACGTGCTCTCCAGTTATCTGCCATATTTTAAGGCTTCATCGGAGACGCCGCTTCAGGCAGCAATGAAGCCCCAGAATGACATCACTGTTTCCCAAAGCCTCGTGGCTCAGTTACTTTCACGACTTCAGCAAACAGAAGCTGAAGAAGCACAACCGCATGGCGACAAAATTAGATTAAGTGTTACCCCCTCAGCGCCACACAAACACACGCGTTTGGTTGTTGTTTTACCGTCATATAATCAGCATTTTCCTTTTCAAGGAACACATTTTTGTCCAGACAGACAAGCAGAGAGCTGCGTGAGATGTGAGGCATCGGCTGGTGTGTGCCGGGGCTTACTGTGAGGTTGTTGATGCTTTCAGACAAAGCCTCTATTTGCAAAATGGTGCTCGCCGCATTCGCCATCTGCAACACACACCATTAAAAGTCACAATTACACACACGCTGCGTTCTCAGTTAGGCAGTAACGAGCCCGAAGCCTTCCTCTGCCAATGAGATGTCCCCCCCCCCGCTGACCTAGTGTTTGATGTTCATACCTAATGCTGCAAACTCAACCAAACATGCACTTCCATTGTTACCTTAAGCAGGGAGGAGGGGAGGGAGGCAGCCATGGTGGTAGTGAGGTGGTGGTGATGAGAGCAGGTTAGTGGTTGATGCGGGTTACTGAGACATGCTGTTTAACGGCTCCACAGACTGGACTGTTCCACAGGAGAGCCGTCTAACTAACAGAGCCAGAATAAGTCCAAACAGCTCTGATTAACTCACTCAGGACGGGAAAAAATGAAAAAACGACTGTACACGCGTGTTATTTTGTTTATTAAATGATTTGATAAATCTTTCGACATTTACAAGACCACAACTGAACTTCTGCAGATATTCTTTGCTATAAAAAATATTATTACAGTCAAATATGTCAAATAACAGTAAAAAAAGAAAATAATCACCACCTCAGGTATCGAACAAAACATGCTCCTTATTCATTTGCTCCGCAGTGAGATAAATATTAAATAAAATCCATCCATAACTTTGCGCAAATATTGCACATCTCATCTCATCCGTGTCACAGAACTGCGTCCAAACCGAACCGGTGGTGTGCGAATGGCTTAACACTGTACAGCAGGAGGTGTCCGTGTGTGGATTACAGGAAGTGATGTCACAGGAGTCCGGAGAGTGAGTCTGTTCTCTGGCGATGGGATGAGTTAGTTTCATGGCACAGGTTTGTGGCTGAGGTCGGGTTAGTTAGGCATCTGACTGGAAGCGAAGCCGGAATGCTTCGAGTGTGCTCGATTCGTGGTCTCAGAGCCCCCTGCAGCATGATGAGCAGCTGATCGTGAGCCAGTCAGACAGGTTCATCCGGGCGCCTCCGAGTCTCTGCACGAGTAAGGCACAGGGTCGGGCTGGTGGGGGGGGAGGGAGGGACTGAGGTATTACGGGGCTGCAAGCAGAGGAAGCTAAGTGGCCGCTGATTGGCTGATGGACTGGTTCACGACGTGGCCGTTCCGAGACGCCATCGTCACGGGGGTGTTTCCTCGAGCCCCACCTGGTCCCTGGCGGGCTCCCGGTCCAGAATGGGGCTCAGGCCTCTGAAGCCGGCGTACGGCCGCATCTGCACCCCGTTGACGGCGGGCGGCCCCGACGGGGAGGACTCGATGGGACAGACGTAGTCGGTGGACTCATCCGTCCGCCTCCTCCTGAGGTGAGTCAGGTTGGAGAAGCCCAACTTCTTTGGCTGCAATTCAAAGAAGAAAGAGTAGTTTTTTTTCTCCACACAGATCCACGTTTGAACTCCAGAATTCTGTACAAGACTTCTTAGGTTACCAATGTACAAAACATCTCTTTAAAAACTTCTGTAGCTTAAACTACTGTTACAAATACATTTAAGCAAGAGTGCCATTAGTATACAGTATTTGAACACTGACGCACGAACGTGGTCACTTCTGTATCTGAGGTCTCTTATATATGAAAAATATTTCTATATTTAAAGAAAAAAAAAAATCAAAGATTATGTTTATATAATCTGCTTATCTAACCAGGCTGTTCTTCAATCAGCATCAGCTTAGTTCAAACCGACACTCATCAGACACTAACAGGATGGTTTTTATGTAGAAAACAATGAGCCAGCCCAGGATTCACCTCGTCTTTTCTTCCAGGACAGAAACCCAGCCTTTGAAAGCTAGCACAAAGCACTATAGTGCACCAGGGCTCCCCTCTGGGCTTGTCCTACCTTTACTTTGGCGGTGATGCTGAGCGGGGTGTAGCCCGCGGCCTCCATGTACTCCCTCTTCTCCTGCTGAGCTTGCGCTCCCACCAGGCTGTTGAAGTTGGTGGCCAAATGGCGCCTGAGGAGCGTTTTCTGCGTAGATATGTTCAGCAGCATCGCCAGGGTGTCGGAGTTGAACCGGGGTTCCAGCATCTGTTGAAGAGCAGATCAGATGCTGTTTGGAGGCTCTTTCCAGGGTTTTGGCCATTTGCAGTGTGTTCTGAATGCTCACTATCAGCCCTCCGTGCACGCCGCTGCCTCTCAGGTTGGGCGCGTACTCCGCCAGGTCCACGGACCGCAGCCACTCCATGACCCTGTGGTTGGACCACTGGACCACCTCGCTGGGCGTGAACTGACACTGAAACGCACATCAAAAGCTGCTCGCTTAACACCCAGCCAACCTAAATAACCCCCATCCCCGTAAACCTTCCGGCTGGGTTTCGACACCTCGTTTCCCGGCCTGCGTTTGAGGCAGTTGGCGTCGAACTTGTTGACGTGCAGCACGTGGATGGCGCACTTGATGCTGAGGTGGTGCAGCTGGCTGGACACTTTGAGGAACAGCAGGTCGTTCTGAGGCGGGGAGAGCAAAGCGGCGTGAGGGGCCTGGACGCTGCCGACACCGGTTTATAAACCATTCACACCCCAGACTCACCACAGTGAGGTACTGCAGCACCTGCCCGTCCACGCGCCCCTCGTTGAACTGGTCCTTGTACTGAGGGAGGCCGATGTCATCGAGCCAGCCTGAGGGAGGGGAAAGAGACACAGATCAGAGCTCAGCGACAAACCCTCCAGGATCAATTTCTGCCTTTAACTCATTGGCTGCCAAAGATGTCTATAGACGTCAATTCAAATACAACCGTTGACTGCCAAAGACGTCTATAGACGTCTTTTATGTTTTTCAACGAGAATGGCTTGGGGAACGATCTGCTGAAGTTTTTCCGTAAATATCGGCTTCTAGACAGAGTATGTACTAACAAATTGACCCTCTAGGTGGCTGTGCCACTTTTGATGGGAGATGAGCATAGATTGTAGGCAAATAAGAAAAACGCAATGGTTCGCTATGCGAGAAATGGCGCCGGTGAGACGCAAGTCGAGGAAGTACGGAATAAGGTAGAAACAATTTTTTTTTCCTGATGAAAGAAGAAAGTCTACTCTTTCTTTTGGTGTGTTCGGTGTTTACATAGTCATAGCACAAACTATTCTGTGGCTCTTGAAAAATCAGTCAAAATGCTCAAAAAACTCTGGCAGTATGGGACTCTCTGTTCTGAAAATGGCTGCCAGTCAATGAGTTAGTGGCGGGCTGCTGCGTACGGGTGACCCAGACGTAGTCCAGGTCGGCGGATTTCTCCGGCTGCTTGCTGGAGAAGGACTTGACGGACAGCTGGAGCTTCTTCCGGTGCAGCGGGTTCTTCATGGACAGCTCCTGCAGACGGAGGGGAAACGTCAGTCTGGACGTGAGCGCGGAGCAGAACGACAGGCAGAACGGACACAGGTGTGACGGATCGAGCGGAGATGCCCCGCATAAATCGTGATGAAGCGGGGAGAGAGGACCGCACCTTCTCCAGGTCTTGGGGGGTGGCCGAGAGCAGCGTCTGACCGCTGATGACCCACTGACGAGCCAGGAAGCCGTACTGACCGAGGCCGATGTCCTCCAGCCAGTCGCACACCTGCTCCGTATTCCACTTCGAAAATGGCAACTTCAGATCTCTGATACACACAAAAAAAAATTTAAATAGAAAGAAGAAAAAGCCCCGTGAGAGATGGAGCTGAGACGGCCGGACCAAAATGCGGGTGAAGCCGCCGGGAGGTGGAGCAGCGCACCGTGTCTTCCCTGGACGGGCCAGTCGAGGTCCGGCTGTGGCCCTGAAGCCCCCCCGCTTGAAGTCTCCCAGCTCGGGGTCGTTGACCTGGACGGGGCTGCCGGACTGACTGCGGCGGATCCTGGAGAACAGAGAACCGGAGAACCCCCAGAGAACCGGTTAAATCCCCAAAGACCTGGTGAACCCCCAGAGAACTGGTTAAAT